TCAATGGATCAAGAAGTCCATCATCACGTCCCTGGGCAGGTGAAATTTAAATAGACCAATAGACAAATTGAACATTCAATCAAAATCCATATATTTATTTATTAAATTTATGCAATAATATTTGTGTTACAATATTTTGAACTATATACATGTCCAAATTTGGTTGTAATGTATATAGTACTATTACTATTATATTATATTTATTGTAAAAAATATTCAAAAATACGTTTATTACACAAAATTTACTGGTCTCTACAAAATTTGTAATTACGTTAAGGCTCGGTCAATTTTTAGTTTTGTCATTAACAATAAAGCTTTATCGGTTTTTTTAACGTGATATAAAAATTTTCGTTATAATAGTAATAGTAATAGGTTTTATATTTAATATTAATGAGTTTTTTGAGAATCTCTAAGATAGGTTACTTCCAAATCATCCGGCTGTGCAGATTTAACTTTATAACTTCATTTGCGATCAAATTTGTAATAAATGATACAATAGGATATTTCACCAAAGATCATCGTCCCTACATCCTAAAAATATTTAATATTGATAAGTTACCCCTTAAATTCCTTAATATTAAATTGTAAATTGTTCAAAAAAAAATAATTTATATATATTTATATGATTTAATAGACTGTGTGTGAATCAAAAAAGAAACTCTACTTGTGAATTATTATTTTATTTAGAAAAAATAATAGAGTAAATATAAATGGTTTCAGATTTTCTTTCAAATACAACACAAACAAATGCTGATAAAGACAATGGTGGAGGCTCTTCCGACAACTTTGCACATGGTGAAATAATTCGTATAGTCGCAGGACTTTTTGCTGTTACTGCAACTTTGTTGTCAACGATGTCTATTTGGTCGCATTTAAAAAACTATAGAAAACCAGTAAGTTTAATATTTATATATAAAATTAAAATAAACCAATGATTATTGTGATATGTTTCTTTGCAATGTTTAATTTTTCATTTATAATAAATTTTAGGCATTACAACGATATGTGGTGCGAATTATAATAATGTAATAATTTAAATAAATTTTCTGATCAATTGAATTTAATGATAAAGTTTTTTAAAAATTATATAAA